GGTTAGTAGGGGCTGAGCTTGCACTCAGGAACCCGCCACGAGGAATTCCAGGAATTCCCTCCTCCTCCCCCTCCTCCCTCTCCTCCTCATCCTCATCATCATCCTCCCCCTCCCCCTCCTCCTTCTCCTCCTCCTCCCGCTCCTATCTCCTTGCGGGTGTGATGATGGGTTGTACGAGTTGGCCGCTTTCTCCATTCAGCCAGGGCCACATCTACATTTCCTCGGATGTGCCTGCCCCGATGTTGCCGCAGAGTGCCTGTGGTGCCTGAGGGGCAGCGGCGACATCTTCCCCACAGCGCTTCTCCTTCTCAAAAGACTGTTCTGGCCCCCCACCCCCTCCCTCCCTCTCATCATCCTCATCCTCCTCCTCCTCCTCCTCCTCGCCTCCTCCTCCTCCTCCTCCTCCTCCCCAAACAAAGAAACGGCCAGCTCATGTCGTGCTGACCCGGCGGCGGCCCCACCGCCGGCGTTCAGGGTTGAGCGCCCGCGGCCCGCCAATCGCTCAAGGTCGAGCGCTCCACGCAGCGTCGGGACCCAACGCCGGGATCGCCACGACACTAGCTTGACGTAGCCCTAAGATTGGCGACACCTTCTCCCAGTGCCCAAGCATTCTTCGACGAAGACAACAAGCAATGTAAACATACACGTTCGGAGTGCCATTCGGGTTTCCTGCTGCGCCAGACCCCTCGGCGGCGCCCCTGGCGACCCCAGGGGGATCTAGCGCGGATCCAAGAAATCTCTGCGGAGCTCGAGCAATTGATATGCAAATGCAGCGTGTTGCTCCTCTATGAAGCCCATCCCCATCGTTAAGATTGGCATCGCCTTCTCTCGGTGTCGATGTCAGGGACCCCCCGGTTTCTGAGGGCACATCCCTGATGATGCATCGCCTTGGGGTCGTAGCATCGGGGTTGGACGAGCTCGGCGCTGAATCGCGAGCGCTTGTTCTTCATTGTTTGGCTGATCGGCGCGGGCCCTCTCCCCCTGCCCCCCCCCATGGAGCAGAACTTGGCTGTTCTTGGCGCCTGCTTCGAGCAGGTGGAGCCTCCCCCCAGAGGGCGCACGGCTCCACACAGACGCACCATGCAGAGGCCCGGACCCCTCCTTTCCGCCCAGTTTGGAGGGTGAAAGAAGGGGTCTGCAACAGGGGGTCTTCAATGGGGGCTGAACGGCCCATGTATGATCAATGTATCGCTCATGTATGCGATCGGGTACGATTGGCATCCAATGCTGACGGTCATGGAGGGCCAGTCGTTCGTGCCCGCGCGTTGCCCACGCCGGCAGTTTCGGAAACGCCGAAGCAGAAAGCGCACTCTTCGAGCAGCGGAAACCAGACGGCGCCAGCACAGAGCGTCCGGAGGCCGGCGCGTGCTGCCCGGGGCCTGGGCCGCCACGGGCGGCGCCTTCGTCCCGGCCCCCTGGCGCGCTCCGCGCGGCGACGCCCCCGGGGCCTGCGCGAGGTGGGGCACGGCCGGCACGCCGCCCCGGGGAGGCCGCGCGGGCGTGCGAGAGTTCTAGGCTCCCGTCGCGCACGGCTGTCCCGCCAGGCCTCCTGCCCGTGACAAACCAACAGCACACACCCATACCCACAGGGGGATCGGAGAGGGCTCTGGGTGCGTGCTGTCGGCTTGGGGTCCCCGCTCGGACGGGAGCGTTCCCCAGGGTCCGACAACCCGCGCCCATGCCCACAGCCAGTCCTCCTCCCAACGACCCCCCCTATGGGTATGGGTGCGTGTTGTCCGTGTCGTCATCCCAGACCTCCATCGCAGGGCACAGGAAAGCAGGGAGGGCTGAACGAGAAGCACAACGAAAACAGCACGAAAGAACAACGTTTGAGTCCAGCCCTGACGTTCGAGACCCGCCGTCCACACTTCCACCAGGAGGCACCAGCGATGCTGCAGTACGGCAGGTTCGCGGGGCTCGTTTCGATTCCTCCGATTCGATCCGGTTCGATGTCGATTGCTTCCGATGCCGATTCGATTCGACTCGGGATTCCGATCTGGGTTCCGACTTCTTATTGGAGGCTTTGCTAGCCTTCGGATTTCTGCCGATTCGATGTTGCCCGACTCTCGGCTGCCGATGTCCGCCGAGCCGATTCATTTCGATCGCCGATCGGACTTATCGATTCGATTCTGGGCTCTCCTGCCTTCGCTCGGCGGCGAACTCCCAACCCTACCCTCGCCGGCGATTCGGGCAACTCGACGGGGGGCGGGGGCAATGAGGGTTCGGAGGTTGTCGAACACGTGGCGGAAGGCGAGCCCTGGCCCGGCCTCCCATCGAGTCAGGGGGAGCGATGGTTGGCGGGGGTAGGGCTCGGATGTCTGGTGTCGCGGTCGCTCTGCCAGGGCGGGCTCTCCCCCGGAGGCGGGGCAGGTGTCTCGCTTCCTTCCCCGACGCAGGCAGCGCAGAGGGCCCCCTTCGAGGGGCCGAGGGAGGGGCCGTCGCCACCAGAGCCCAGAGGGGCACCACTCTTTGCGACTTCATGCGGTGGGAGCCGCGCACCTGCCAAGATCCTGGGCCTCCAGTAGATTTTAAGTCGGGCGTGTCCTTCCACAGGAGGAGGATTCAAAAATTGTCAATAGCATGGGGACCGCTTTTTATGTGTTTCGTAGGTTTGAGTGTTGTTTGGCCAGTTTCTGTCTTAAAATCCGCCTGTAGGAGGACATACCCGACCAAAGAGTAAAATGGGGTCGAAGGATCGCGCCACATCGCCGAGGCATCGCCGATGCGGCCTGTTGTAGGGCCCGATTGCCTACACGCCGATGCACCGCCATCGGCGATGCGGCGCGATCCTCCGACCTCATCTGTTCGGAACCCATCTGGGAGGCCTCTACACATCATATTGGATCAGGCTACATCAGATCAGCCGCGGACGACTGCGTGAAACGCAGTTGAGATACTATGAGATATTGCGGCCTGCGCGGACAAGAGATTGCATCGTTCTGGCATGCACTTGATCAAACGGATGAGCATGGGAATTGAGTTCCCGAGGAAAGGAGGACATGCGCGATGCAGTCAAAATGTTGAGCTAAAGACAATTCTGGACTCAGGAGCGGCTCTGGTTTTCGGGCTGTTCCTTAGATCCACGGCGGAAAGCTTGTTTGTGGCCAGAATTCGCCGTGGCCAGGAAAGCTCAATCGTCGTTCCCTGCTCTACGATCCCTGTGGTAGCACGGTTGATGCACTCCCGCCCGCATCGCACGCAGGCGGTGGCCGTGGGTAGGCTCGTTTACGCCAGCGCACTCGCGGCGAGCGGAGCGAGGCACAGACCACGCGCAAGGCCGAGCCTCCGTCGCCTTCTAATTATAGTTTCTCATATTCTGCTCAGTGCAAGTATCGCACGTAGCCTTCGTACTTGTATTCCTCGTACTATTCTTAGTACTCGTCTTCTTGGCGGTACTATCATTATTATGTCTCTTCTCGCTATCATTCGCATCGTTTTTCCGCAGGCCTCAGCACCGTCCTCGACATCCTCCTCCCCAGAGCTCCTCCTCGGGGCCCCCTCCACGGACTTCCGACGCTGTTCGACCGTGCTGGGCCGTTGGGAGGCCTCTCGTCGCCACGCCGAGATCACCCGCCCGCGGCCTCGGAAGTTCGGTGTGCCCTGCGGGCAGCCTCGGGGAGGCTGCTCGCCTCCCCGGCGGGACCCCGAGCGAAGAGTCTTGGCCGGGGCGCATCCCTGGAGGGCGGGGGGGGGGGGGGCGGCAGGGGCGAGGGCACGCACTGCAGAGCCAGAGGGGCGCCTCCCTGGAGAGGAGGGGCCTCCTGGGCAGTCCTGGGCGCGTCCCTGGAGGGGGAGGGGCCTCTCGGGCAGTCTTGGGGCGTCTGGGAGGCTGCCTCGGACCTCAGACGTCCAGTGCCCCCGTGGGGCCCCGATCGACCTTCCAGCCAGGGCGCTGCCCTGGGGAGGCCGGGGAGCCGATCGCGCCGGCTTTCTCGGTCGAGCAGTTTCTGGTGTTGTCTGCTCGGCGGCGAGCGACCAGGGGAAGCGAGAAGGAGAAGGCCTTCTCTCAGGCGATCGCAAACATGGATCAAGGGGGCGTGGATTGGCGACGGGTCCCGTTTCCGTTGGAAATCGATCATGTCCGCTGCCTAAGTAGGCGACGTAGGCCGCATATGTTTGCGCACCGCCGATTCTCTGAATGCTCGGAAGTCCGCTGGCCGTCTGAGAGGTTTATTGAGCCTTCCCCGAAGACGCAAGAAACTTCTCAGATGGCGCGAGGGCTTCTGAGGAGTCCCGCCGCTTTTCTGAGAGGCCTCCTAGGTGGGGTCGGAATAAATGGGGTTGGAGGATCGCGCCGCACCGCCGATGCATCGCCGATGCGGCTCGGTGTGGAGCCCGATCTGCTTCACGACGACGTCGCCGATGTGTGTCGTCCACGTCGACGATGCATCGCCAGTGCATCGCCGATGTATCGCCAATGCACTACCGATGCATCGCCGATGTGTCGGCGATGCGGTGCGATCTTCCGACCGCCTCTACTCCGACCCCGTCCAGGAAGCCTCCAAACACACATTGTCATGGCACGGCTGCCCGCCTGTGGACACTTGGTTGCACAAGATCGCATGCAACAGAAACATCATCGCTATGCGATCGTGGTTCTTATCAGCATGCTCGAGGCCTCGAACACGAGACTCGGGTGGACCCCGCCGGATGAAATCAGCGATATCGAGGCGACTTGAAATCTGCAGGCCTACCACATTCTATAACGCAATGCTGCTCACGCGCATGGGGAATGGCATGGCACAGGTCACGAGCGGCGAGCATTCGAATCCGTGCCCTCGCGGTCTGGATTCCGTGCCGCGATCCCGCAGATACGCGGTCGCACGGATACGTTCCGCGCGGACATCCGCCAAACAACGCCGCGTATCCGAGGGGTCGCGGCCCAGGGGCCCGGCTCGCGAGGTCGCAGATAATTAAGGATATGTTTTCCGCCCACGAAAATGTTGAACATGCACAGGAGGACCACGAGCACGGTTGCTGTTGCTCACCGCCCTGCCCAGGCACCGGCGGCGTTGCCCACGCAGTTGGCGCCCATGGACGTGCTGTTGCCGTCGCGCCAGGCCGAGCTGTGCCCAACCCGCCGCGTTCTGGAGATCGCCCGCAGGAAGCTTGGAGAGAGATCGTCCTTCGGCCTTCTCGTCCTCCATCCAGGGGTAACATTCGGGGGGAGGGCAACGGCAAGTATTCGAAGATCGGAGTTCATTCACTCTCTGGAGATTTCTGATCATCCTGGGGCGCCCTTGTGGCCACAGCTCGATCCACCAAATTCTAAGCAGAACGCACCCCAGGAGAGGTCTAGGAGTCGATCGGTTTTGCTTTTGGGGGATGTTCCTCGGTTCTCGGTAGTTTTCCGGCCTCGGGGTGTTCTCTTGCAGTTGCGCCCAGCCGAGGGCGTTCCAGGGGTGTCCGGATCGCCCCGAAGGTCCGCTGGAGGCCCATGTTATGGCCCAAAAGCCAGGGGGCGACGTTAGGGGGATACGCTCAGAGGGGGGGGGCCCAAGGGCAGAATGCATGAAATTGCAACCAGAATGCAACTCTGGGGGCGCAGCGCCAGAAATCACAAGCCTGCGCAGAAAGTGCGATTGGGAGCACCACCTGGTACTACACCGAGCCTCCAGCATGTCTGGACCAACGCCGCCAGCGAGGCCGTAGCGGACCCAGCTGCGCACGCAATGCAAAGAGCTCCGCCACGCCGGGCGGACCGTAGCGGACCCGACGGGGAGGCTGTGCTGGCCGGACCGTAGCGGACAGAGCTGGGCACGCAATGCAAAGGGCCCCTCCGCGCCGGCCGGACCGTAGCGGACCCGATGGGACGGCCCAGCTGGCCGGACCGTGCCGGACCCGACGGGAAGGCCCAGTTGTCCGGACCGTAGCGGACCCAATTGAGCACGCAATGCAAAGAGCCCCCCCCCGCCAGCCAGACCGTAGCCGACCCGACGGGGAGGCCCAGCTGGCTGTAGCAGACCCAGCCGGGGACACCATGCAGGGCGAACGCGCAGCCTGGCGACGAGGAGCGCAGGGACATGGCGGACGAGGAGTCCTGCAGGACGTGGCCGACGAGGAACGAGAGCCGCGGCACACCCCGCAGGGACAGAGGAGGCACGCGCACTGGACAGACCAAGCCCGCCAGGAACGCGTCCGCGTGGCCGCGGCCACCGTGGCGCAAAAACGGCAGCACCAAAGCCGCCAGAGCCAAGCCTCCCCAGCCCGGCGGAGCAGAGGAGGCACGCGCACTGGACAGACCAGGTTCGCCAGGAGCGCGCCCGCGTGGCCACGGCCGCCGCGGCGACGAGGACGCCGGGAACTTGCTACCCCGCCCCCGAGCCGGGCGGCAACCCACACACCACCGACGGCACGCGACGACACCGCCGCTCCTGACTGGAGCCATCCAGGCCATGAGAAAAGCCATGAAATTCCCCAAAACGGATTAAACCACCACTCGCGAGAGAGACTGCAGCCGATACGCTAGTTTTCCCCCCCTACGAAAGAACATTTAGGGGGTAAGTCTGTCGCGATCCATCGGCGATGCGTCGACGAGCGCAGGTCGATCTCTCCCCCCCTGAGTTGGTCTCCCCCCAGCGATGCCCCATCAGTTCTGGGCGGGAGATGCCGCCATCTTCCAAGGTTGGCCGCGCGAGGTGCCCCGGACTCCTTGCGCAGCGCGGCGCACGAAGCTGGCTGGGTGAGGCCAGCGGTCCTTCCCCGCATCCAGAGTGGGACCATTGCTTTGCATGGGCACCCACACGCAGAACCCCCCCACACATCCGCGTCCGTTCCCCCCCGTCTGACAGGCACGTCATCAGCATCAGCAGCATCGCCAGCAGCACCAGCATCAGCACCAGCATCATCTTCAGCGTCATAATCCGCATCATTGGTATCATTATCATCGTCATCATCATCATCAACAACAGCATCATCAGCATCGTATTCGCCAGCGTTTTCGTCATCGCAATCATCGCCATCATCGTCAACATCCATCACCATGGCAGCCCGCGCGAAGTGGGCGGCAGCGGTAAGCAGTGAGGAACAGCAGGCCTGGACGTCTGACGCGAAGCAGTAGGCGAAGACCAGCGCAGCAGCTAGCGGAACAACGCGGAACATGCGTGTCCAGAATTAGACGCGTCGGTCTTTGGACGCCAGGGCTGGAGCATATTACCATTCTCGGCGGGGGCGTCGAGGCTGGAGTTTGGACGACCTCCGCGAGGACGGGGCCCTTGCAGGGGGTCCGACGCGGTTGAAGTTGGCGCGCGATTTCTGGGCAAAGGGCGCGCGGCGCGTCCTACCCGAGAGGGAGGAGTTCGAGGCGAAGACCATGGGGGCGGGAACACCCCTGCCATGGCTCAAAATGGAGAACGCGAAAGGAGCTGCCAGGTCGCCCCCTGCGACCCTGCGAGGACGGGGATGGGCGAAGACAAGCTGGGGCCGCGCCAGCTCAGTCTCGCGCGCGACGAGTTCATCGGGACGGTGATCGAGTTGGCGACGGGCTGCGAAGAGCTGGGCGCATCACCCGGCGCGGGCTTGAGGCGTTGCTTGCCATGTCACCTGAGCTGGCGCATGGGATTTAGACCCACCGGGCTCCTCAGTTGGCTCGGGGGGCTTTGGAACATCCTTCGGCGACAGGAATGCATCCACGACGAGGCGCAGCAGTGCTTCTGGGGAGGACACCAGAGAGCGCCTGAAGGCGCAGGGTGGCGGCAGCTGCTTGCCAGAGAAACAGCTGGCGCACAAGAGGTGGCCCCCGCCACCGTCGCGATGGGCGCGTGCGCAGCGCGCGAGCTCGTGGACTTAGCGGCAGCTCGGGAGCGAAGTGGTCTGGCTGAGCATCCTGTTCGCCTGCTGGGCTTGGCGCTGCCAGTGTAGACCACTCCGCGTCAAACTGGAGACCGCGGTCGGGCTTCTTGTGCGCCTGAGCGCGGGGCCGGTGCCTGGGTGCTCGAAAATTGGACCCCCTGAATCTGCCATGCCCGCCGCGGCTGACGAGCGCCCGAGGTTGCAGCGGGGGGCGAAGCCCAGGGCCCACTTCGACGTCGCGTTCGGCGACGCGACAGCACGAGCACACGGGCACAGGACAGCCACCTGCGCGCAGCTGGCGGCGGCGACGCAAACGGCAAGGAGCATGGCTGCCAGATCGCGGCACCCGAGTGCGAGGCGCTGGCGTCGGGCGAGGGCGCGGCGAGGGCGTTGCTGCGGGAGCTTAGGAAGAGGGGCATCATCTCCCCGCTCGCCGAGGAGGTGAAGCACTTGGAGGTCGATTTCGCGTTGTACCAGGGCGGCGCGTTTAGCGCCATTCGCGCAGGGCGCGGCCAGCTGGGGGGGCTTCCGCCGAGGGCAATGGCGGCGCGGAGGCTGTCCAAAGAGGCCGAGGAGCACGTCGCCGCGGCAAGGCCGCGCCCCGCAAGCCCCCACGGAGCAGCCGCTTCGGCACGGCCAGGCGCGCGCCTGGAGAAGCCGGGGGCCAGATGGGCAGCGGCCGCGTCGGCGGCGGGCCAGGGCGATCTGCGTCGTGATGGGCCTAGCTGGCCACGAGGCAGCAGGCGGGCCCCGCGTTCGAGCGCGCGCGGACGCCCATCCAGTCCTTGGCGCGGGCGACCCACGCAGGCGCGGGGAAGCGACGAGGACGAGGGGCGCGCGCCCGGGCGCGCCGTCGCCGCCAGCGCGAAGAGGTTGCAGGAGGAAGGCGAAGGTGCCCTCGCGGGGCGCGGGCCTGCCAGCGCGGCGGCCTCGGCGCGCGCGCGCGCGCCTTGGGCGGGCCACCGCCAGATTGGGGGCTTGCGAGACGGACGGAAAGGGGCTGCGCGAGGTGATCCAGCTGGGCGAGCACGCGATCAAGACGGAGGTCGGGCGAGCCCGCGGGCGGGCGCCGCGGGGGCAGGCGGCCGCCAGCGCGCGGCCGAGGGCCGCGGGGGGCGGAGACGAAGCCACGAAGCACATCAAGGAGGAGGTCGCGCGCGCCCACGGGGTGCCCGCGACCGGCGCGGCGGCGAGCCGCGGTGGACGCCCCGCTAGCGTCGTCGGCGGACTGCCAGATTGGGCGCGCAGTTCGCGGGGTCACGAGGCGCCTGCCACGGGGCCGCGCGGCTGCCGGGATCGCGATGAGCCAGCTCGTCGAGGGTTTCGAGGAGGACGGCAAGTCGGCGCGACCGGCGTCCATCGGCGCGGCCAGCGACGAGGGAGGGGACCGCGAGGCCTCCGGCCATCGGGGCCGCGGGGCGCGCCCTCTCCGCGGGGCGAGGAGGGTCGGCGAATGTAGAGGGGGGGCCGCCAGCGGGCGCGGCGCGCCGCCGCGCGGCGACCCGCTCGTGGAAAGCCCCGCCCCAGGGCCGCAAGTGGAGGAGGCGGCGCGCGCGGACAGGGCTCTCATCGCGACGTCGCGGGACCGCAGGCTCGACCAGAGGTTGCCGGGCGCCGGCCGCTGGCCTAATCGACGCTCGAGAACGCGAGGCAGGGCCGCATCGCGGACTGGCAGGGACTTAGAGGAACCACATGGTGGACAAGATGGCCAGAGGGGCGGCGGCGATGCGCCTGTTCGACGACGGGCGGTTGGCCCGCCCGGCGGAGGCCCGCCGCCTGGCATGCAGGATTGCATCGTGGATCGCCCGCGCGGCGCAGATAAGGCGAGGAAGCGGTGCTGACTGCCATCGGAGCCAGGCCCCATTCTGGCCCAGCCCCCCTGGCCCGGCCCCCTGGCCAAGCCGAGGCGCCGCGCGGAGAGCCGAAAGCAGCGGCGAGAAGGGGCGCGCGAGGCGCAGGGCGCCCGCCGCCACCACGGACCAGAGCAGATCGTGGAAGGCGCCGCTGCCCGGTCGCGCACGAGGCGCCAGGACTTCGGCGAGCCCGCGATCGTCGGCGCCGGCGAGACCTCGGGGGGGTTCGAGGCGACGGTGGACGCGGAGCGGCGGCAGCAGCGTCGGCCCTCGCGGGGGCGGCCACGGCAGCGGCGAGCGGCGAGGGCGACGGCGGAGCCAGCGCGGCAGCCTCGGCCGGAAAGGAGGCGCTTCCGCCACCGACGCCCCGCCCACGGCGCAGCCAGCTTGGCGAAGCCGCCCCATGCACGAGTTGCACAAGACGCGGCAGGCAGGAGTTCCCCCCCAGGCGCCGCGCCTTCGCGTTGGGAGCCGGGACGCTTGGGCTCGACACTGCGCGCCCCGAATGTCTTCGCGGAGACAGCGAAGGCGGTGAGGGGCCGCCCCCAGCAGGGCGAGCACCCGATCAAGATCGGGCACCTCGGCGAGCCCAAGCCTCCGGCGCGCGCGAGGGGGCACGGGCGCAGCCGATCGCTTCACGCGCGGGACTGATGCAACTTCGCCTTCCCTTTTCTTATTTAATCGCTTCGCTCACTCCGCCGGCCCATAATGTCGCACCGTGGTCGCGTGTCCGAGTGGTCGTTTGCAGTGTGGAGCTGCGGCGTCGGGAGGTGTGTAGTGTTTTGGGCGTTCTTGGGGCCCTCTTGGGCCGTCCTGGAGGCCTCTGGGGCCGTCTTGGAGCCGTCTTGGGCCGTCTTGGGGCCCTCTTGGGGGCCTCTTGGGCCCTCTTGGGGCGATCTTGGAGGCCTCTTGAGCCGTTGAGGGGCGTCGGGGAACCGAAACGGTTAAAACGCCCAAATCTGTCCAACACTTGAAGAAAAGCACAGGTTTTTGCCTCTTGGGGCCCTCTTGGGAGTGTTCTCTTGGAGGCCTCTTGGGGCATCTTGGAGGCTTCTTGGGCCATCTTGGGCCACCTTTGAGACGTCTTGGGCCGTCCGGAGGCCATCTTGGGCGCCGTGGAGCGATCTTCGGGCGTCTCGGACCTCTCTTGGATTGTGTTGGGGGCCTCTTGGGGCCCTCTAGGGGCGATCCTGGAGGATCTGGGGGAGTGTCCCGGGCGTGTCTCGGGCGTGTCCCGGGCGTGTCCCGGGCTCCTCCCGGGGTACTTTGGATCCAGGGACCCCCAGGGGCCGCCCCGCGCGCGCGAACTAGAAATACTGTTTACCAGTTACCGGAGATCTTAGCACGCCTCTGGCCCGTTGGGCCGGCGAATTCCGAGGGGGAGGCAGCTGCCCGCCCACCACCCTGACTGCGCACTGCAAGCGGGGGGTCAGCCTTTCCAGAGTCGAACTTGACTCGTGGACTGGCAGTGCGCGCCTGGCTCGCGATTGGAGGCGGGGCCCCAATGTCGGCGCGGGCGCGAGTGTTGCCGCGCTTCGCTCGGGGTTATGGTGGGCTTCGCGCCCTCTCCCTCACGCCGCAAGGCTTCCTTGGGAGCGTGGAGTCGGACGAGGAAGGAGCGTGAGGCGTCGCTCCCCCCTGCCGGCAAACGCTAAACATCATCAGCATGACCACCATCATCCACGTCATCAGCATCAGCAGCAGCATCACCACCCTGCGCACCCAATCACAACATGGGAATCGTCACACGTGTCACCACCAGTACCCCCACACCCATGCATTCATATTGCGGCAGTTGGCATGGAAGCCTCATCTGTGAGCGACATGCGAAGAGGTCTCGAGCGGGAGCCCCTCCCGATGGGGCCCCAATTTCCTGTTTCTAACCACCCTGGATGTCATGCAGACCCCGTACATGTCATCAATGTTGGTGTTTGGGGGTTTGGGTATGGAGAGGGTCCAGGGCGGGAGCCCCGTCGGTGAGCAGATTCCGAGCAGCTTTCAATCTTCATGGGCGCCAATCCGTATGGGAGTCCAGACTTTGTCATTGTCGTCGCCACTGGGCTTTTGGTGCTTACATGTTTAAAACGTTTCGGGCGGGAGCCTCGTCTGCGTGCGACTTGCGAGGAAGTCTTGAGCCGGAGCCTCTCGTTATGGGGTAACCACATACGGATCCCAATATGGGGGGCCATCCAGTTTTTGTAGTTGTCATCACTTGTGGGGTCAGGAGGCCGAAATTTGGAGGGGATCAAGAACGGGAACCTTAATCTTGAGTGGACTGAGACAGTGTGGTACGGGAGCCTCTCGAAGGAACCAACAGGAGACACAGGGAAGGAGAGGAGGGGAAGATCAGTTGTCCGTCGTCTTCCTCCCCTACCTCATCATCCATGCCGCACTTGTCCGTCATCATCATCTGCTTTCTCCGCCTCCCCCCTCCACTGGCCACGTCATCCTCTTCCCTCCTCATTCCCCGTCCTTCTTATCATGCTCATCTGTCCGCATCCGCTGCATCCTTCCCCGCTTCCTGTTTTCTTATCGTATCCTTCCCTCCTTCATCACTCCCCCATTTTTTTGTTCCACGTCCCCCCTCCCCGTCATTCCCTTTCTCGTATGTGTTGTTCTTCCTCCTACGACAGGAAGAGGGAGGAGGGGACAGACGGAGGCACAAAGGGAGAGGGCGAGGTAGGAACGAGAAGAGGAAAGAGGGAAAGAGCGCTGAAATGGAGGGGAGAGACAGGAAAGGAGGGGAAAGAGGGAGGCAGGGGAGGAGAAGGAAGAGGAAGAGGAAGAGAAGAAGGAGAAGGAGGAGGACGAGGAGCAGAAGCTGGAACAGCAGGAGCAGGAGCAAGAGGAGAGGGAGGAGGAGGAAGAGCAGGAGCAGCGAGGGGATGAGGAGGAAGGTGACCGTGAGGAAAAGGGAGGAACTATGAAGGAGGACGAGGAGGAGGAGGAGGAGGAGGAGGAGGACGACGACGACGACGCTGACGACGCCGCCGCCGCCGCCGCCGCCGCCGCGGCCGCCGACGACGACGACGACGACGACGACGACGCCGCCGCCGCCGCCGCCGCCGCCGCCGCCGCCGCCGCCGCCGCTCGACGGCCCGCGGCGACGGCGCCGCTGGCCGCGGGTGCGCCAGCTCCCCCCGCCAGTGAGGCCCCGGCGGCCTCCGAGAGCGACCGGCGCGAGGCGCGCAGCCGCGCCGCAGCCCCGACGGTTGGCCGCCTCAGCGGGGGATTTGAAAACGACGAGACGTGAGGTGGGGCCTCGTCCGCGCGGGCTGCCGCAGCGGGCACTGGCGAAGCAGCCTGGCCCTCACCGATCACCCCAGCTGCGGCGCCGCCTCCTGCGGGGGGCGGGGGGGCAGAGCTGCTCCAGGGAGGGGCAGGGCAACCGCGCCGCTTCGTGGACCGAGGGTGGCGACGTCAGACGAGCAGCTGGGGCAGCGGCCCGCGCGAGCTTCGCGCGCGCCTCCTACACCAGCCGTTGCTGACAGTGGGACCCCGCATGAGATTCTTCCGAACTTGTTGAGACGTAGCCCTCACCGTCGTCCTGGTGATGGTGATGGGCCCTCTTCCTGTCTCCTCCATCGCCCTGTCTTCATCGCTCTGGCGGAGGCATTCCTCCCGCCCCCTGGTTGGCTTTCTCCTCCTGCTGCTCCTCCTCCTCCTCCTCCTCCTCCTCCCCTGCTCCTCCTCCTCCTCCTTCTCATCCTTTTCCTCCATCTCCTCCTCCTCCTCCTCCACCTCCTCCTTCTCCTCCTCCTCTTCCTCCCCCCATCCACCGCATTCTCTCCTCCTCCTCCTCCTCCTCCTCCTGCTCCTCTCCTCCTCTTCCTCCTCCTCCTCCTCCCCCTCCTCCTCCTCCTCCTCCTCCTCCTCCTCCTCCTCCTCCTCCTCCTCCTTCTCCTCCTCGTCGCGTGTATCACATAATGGTGGCTGTGTCTCGGGAGCCTGGGTTGCCAATTGAGGGGTGATCGCAGGGTGTCCAGTTGCGACGACGCTTACTTAATTGTTGTTGCTGAGCCCGTTCACCTTCGCCCAATGTGGGAGACCCCAGCTCGTTGTCAGAAACGCGATAGACGAAATAGCGATGCAGATCGCCGTGCCGCCAGAAGTCCCACGAAATGTTCTTAGAACATTTCTGGCTGGGACTGTCTTGTTTTAACACATAAGGGTAATGTTCTAAGAACATCGTTATTGTTCTTAGGACATCTGTGGGTTCTAAAGACATTTCGTGGTAGGACTATAGGACTGCCAGGGCGGTCGGTCCCTGCTCAATGTTTTGATCTCTGCGGGTTCGGGACCCGCTGGAGGAAGCGCACTCGCTTCCAGGTGTGGCGCAGCGCCCCGTGCGTCCGTCCGCCCAGGCGGTGTTGCTCTCGGGGCGGCCTCTGCTCCTGCAGTAGTCACAGAAGCAACAACGGGTGGTGATCCGGACGATGGTGATGAAGGTTGTGGTGATGATGGTGATGATGGTGATGGCGATAGTGATAGGGATGGTGGTGGTGATGATGATTATGATAGTGATGATAATCCTGATAATGATGATGAGGATGGCGAAGATGATGTTGATGATGATGACAGGAGTGGTGATGATGATGATTGGTACGATCGTGGCGATGATGGTGGCATGATGACGATGGCATGATGATGGTGCGGGTGGAGGTGGTGGTGATGATGTTGATGATGGTGATGATGATGGTGGTGTTGATGCTTATAATGATACTGATGATGAAGATGCTGATGATGACGATGATGATGATGATGGTGGTGGCTTTGACGACGATAATGACTATTACGATGACGACAACGGCGACGAGGACGACGATACTGACGCTAGTACTAATGATACGTGCAATGATGACGATCCCAATGACGGTGATGGTGGCGATGATGGTGACAATGGTGGTGATGGTGATGGTGATGTTGCTGATGTTGATTGTGATAATTGTGATGATGGAAAGTGTGAAGATAATGATGGTGTCGGTGATGATGGTGGTCGTGATGATGGTGATGGCAACGATGGTAGGGGTGATGTTAATGATAATGATTGTGGTGATGATGTTGATGGTGATGATGATCATGTTGATGATGATGATGATGATGATGATGATGATGCTGATGGTGATGGTGATGGTGATGGTCATGATCATGATCATGATCATGATCATGATCATGATGATGTTGATGCTGATGTTGATGTTGACGCTGATGCTGATGCTGACGCTGACGCTAACGCTGATGCTGGTGATGGTGGCGATGAAGACCGATCATCGATCCTCCCTTCCCCCCGTTCATAGGTATTGTTGCGTGTACTCGGGGCCCTAGTTTGGGACTCCCAATCTTGGTCGGTATGTAGTTCAAACCCTATTCCAAAACCTTGTTTGGGACGTGGTTTGCTCAGTGTTCTGTACCTCCCTCTCTAAGAGACCACGACTATGATAAGATCCTCTCTTCCCCCCGTTCGTGCCCCCACCCCCGGCAGGCGCGCGAGGCCGAGGAGCTGCGCCGCGAGCGCGCGGAGGCGGAGGCCAGGCGGCGGGAGGCGCCCTGCTGGGGGGGGGGGGGAGAAGAGGAGCGCAGGATGAAGGAGGAGGAGGAGGGAGGGAGGAGGAGGAGGAGGGAGGAGGAGGACGGAGAAGATGGGGGACGGAGGAGGATGGAGGGGAGAGGAGGAATGGAGGAGGAGGGGAGGAGGATGGAGAGGATGGGAGGAGGATGGAGGAGGAGGAGGAGGAGGAGGCGGACGGAGGTCGTGGGTTGGAGGAGGGGGGGGCCGAGGGGGAGGAGGCGGAGGGCTGAGGATAAGATGTTCGACGATTCTGTCCTTTTGGAGCCTCTGGAACCCCCCCCCCCGCCCTTTTGAGCCGACAGGTGGTCGGCGCCCGGAGAGCCCGGAGGCCGTCGACGGTGGTAGGGGGCCGTCCCTGGCAGGGCCGACGTTCGCCGTTGCCAAAAACAGCGGCCTCCTCCACCTCCTCCTCTCTCCTCTCTCCTCTCTCCTCCTCCTCCTCCTCCTCCCTCCTCCTCCCTCTCTCTCCTCTCTCCTCTTCCTCCTCCTCCTCCTCCTCCTCCTCCTCCTCCTCCCTCCCTCTCCGCCTCCCTCCTCCTCCTCCTCTCCTCCTCCTCCTCCTCCTCCTCCTCCTCCTCCTCCTCCTCCTACCTCCTCCTCCTCCTCCTCCTCCTCCTCCTCCTCCTCCTCCTCTCCTCCTCTCCTCCTCCTCCTCCTCCTCCTCCTCCTCCTCCTCCTCCTCCCTCCTCCTCCTCCTCCTCCTCTCCTCCTCCTCCTCCTCCTCCTCCTCCTCCTCCTCTCTCCTCTCCTCCTCCTCCTCCTCCTCCTCCTCCTCCCTCCTCCTCCTCCTCCTCCTCCTCTCCTCCTCCTCCTCCTCCGCCTCCTCCTCCTCCTCCTCCTCCCTCCTCCTCCTCTCATCCTCTCCTCTCTCCTCTCTCCTCTCTCCTCTCTCCTTTCTCCTCTCTCCTCTCTCCTCCTCATCCTCCTCTCTCCTCCTCTTTCCTCCTCCTCCTCCTTCTCCTCCTCCTCCTCCTCCTCCTCCTCCTCCTCCCTCCGTCTCCCTCCTCGCCATCCTCCTGCCGTTCCGTTGCCATTGCCGTTTGCCGCTGAAGCAGAAAAGCCGCGCCAGAGTCGGAACCAGAACCCCCAAAAAGTCGGCGACGGGATTGGAGAAGCGTCGACGGAAACGGAAGAGAAGCCCAAAAGCGGGATTGGTGAAAAGAAACGCCTTGCCGTTTCAAAGGCCGAGTCAAGGCCAGATGGCTCTCTTGGCGGCGCGCACACGAAGGGTGGCGCAGGGGGGGGCGGCTCTCTAAGTGGGCGGAGGTGCTGCTTAGAAGCCAGGCGTGCTCGCGTCGTGACAAGAATCACGACGATAGGCTGTTGGCCATGTTCGGTCTCCGGGTGCCCTCACCCAGCCTCGGGGAGAGGGTCAGGATTCCCGGGGGGGCGAATTGATAGGGGGCCACATGCGAACCCTACCCCTACCCCCCACGATTTCTGAGGGGGGGGGGGTTCACTTCGTTCGCAGGTGCCCCCCTCAGAAATCGTGGGGGGTGGGCTCTGCGCGCCGCCAAGGGTCAACAGATCGAGCATCGCAGGTCGAGGTCGTCGACGTTGGGGGCCCCGGGTCGAAGAGTCGGAGGTCGGGGCTGTCTGCCCGGCCCCCATCGGAGTCGAGGGCCGAGTTGGGCGATGTGGGCTTCCTCGTTCAACATCGCTGTACCGATCCCATCCCTCCTCCTCCTCCACCTCCTCGTCCTCCCCCTCCTCCTCGTCCTCCCACTCCCCCTCCTCATCCTCATCCTCGCCCATTCCCCGAGGGTGGGGGTCTGGCACCTGTTCTCATGGTGTCAGCGCCACACACTCCTCGGGGCACACTGTCAGTGTCAATTGCATGCGGCGGCTGGGGGCAGATAAACCGGCTTTCGTCGTTCTTGCACCAGCCACGTGGCATTTTGCCCGTGGCAGCGGCGCGTTAGTTGCGCCCGTGACCTGGAGATGGATACCAGGCACGGGGGGTGTGCATTTGGTTGAGAGGCGGCGCCATGTGGTCCGTAAGTCCATTGGGGCCTTGTATCCGCTCACCCTGGGGGACATACCCACTTGCACATGCCATCTGATTCGGCAGGGGTGACGGTCGGGAAGTACTGCGCGGTGACGCGGTGAACCGGCTGTCCCCCTACGCACCACGCCGTCTCCGTTGGGCAGCGAGTCGCTGAGCGACGAGGTATCTGCATTTCCCCCGACCGTCGGTGCTGGCGTATGCGGGCCCCGTCCTCCTGTCTGGGAGGCCGAGGGTGACGGTTGAGCCTCGCTCGCCGTTCACTTCTTGCATCTACGACACTCATGACACATCCTCATCCTCGCCCACCTGCCAGGCGGGGATACGGTGGAGGCCCATGCCAAGAAACACCCTGCTTGCCTCCAGGGTGCACTGGGTTTCTTGGGTTTCGATGGTTTTGCCATGGAAAGCGTGACGTTCCCACGCCAAAAATCGATGGGCGCCCTGGGGTCTCAGGGTTGGGTTTCTTGTGGAACGTTTCCTGTGGTCGGGCCCCCATTGCCATCAGGCCCTGCGAAGCCAGAAGGGATAAGGATGCTGTCCGCGCCTGGGGGCCTCGATCGGCCAGCGTTGCCAGGCGTGGCGATCGGTTAAGGGATGCTCAATCCAGGATCGAGGATCGAAGGTTCTCCATCCTCGATCCTGGAGGATCGAGGATCGCGGATCGATCACTCTTGCATGAGGCGTCCAGGATCGAAGATCGACGTCGTCGTCGTCGTCCGCGTGCGGTTCGCGCTCCACCGTGCTTCCCCGCCGGGGAGGGCCGCGAGCCCCGGCGGCGAACGTCCAGCAGGATCGATGATCGAGGACTCTCGATCCTCGACCTGGGAAAGGCACAAACATCTCGACCTGGATGGATGGTGGGGACGGGGAGGAGGAGGAGGCGAAGGAGGAGGAGGAGGAGGAGGAGGAGGAGGAAGAGGAGGAGGAGGGTGACGAGGAGGAGGAGGAGGAGGAGGAGGAGGAGGAGGAGGGTGACGAGGAGGAGGAGGAGGGTGACGAGGAGGGGGAGGAGGAGGAGGAGGAGGAGGAGGAGGAGGAGGAGGAGGAGGAGGAGGAGGAGGAGGTGTTTGGCCAGTTCTCTTGGGCCCCTCCGGCGTCCCCGGGAGCCCCCATCGTAGCGGCAGGCCGTCCTCCGACGTGCGGCGCCTCCAGAGCTCTCGGGCGCTTGCCGTCTGCGGTCATTGGGGGCCCCGTTCGAGCCCAGGGAGTTCGATTCTCGATCGGACGACGGCGGCGGCAGACGACGATCACTGACAAGCATCGACGACGATCGACGATGGAAAAGGACGACGACACCGACAGTTGGCGTTGTCGGCGACGACGATGGCGACGACGATGACGACGACGACGACGATGACGACGACGACGACGACGACGACGACGACGACGACGACGACGACGACGACGACACCGCGTCCTCGACGACCGACGACGACGACGTCGACGACGTCGACGACGTCGACGTCGACGACGACGACGACGACGACGACGACGACGACGACGACGACGACGGGCGACGACGGGCGACGACGGGCGACGACGGACGACGACCGACGACGGCCGGCGACGACGACCGACGACCGACAGCCACGACGACGGCGGCGGCGGCAGACCCACGTGGCGTCGGCGCGCGCGGGGGTGGCGCCCTGCGTCGCGCCGCGCGTGTGAGGCGGAGCGGGCCGCGCCGCCGGACAAGAAGGAGTCGGGCGCCGTGGTCCAGGCGCGCTCGCGCTCTGCCCCGCGCGCACGTGCGTCAGGCGACCGAGGGCGATCGGGCGATGCGCCATTCAAGCAGTGGCGAAGCGTCCTGGCCTGTCGGCGGCGAGCGAGGGGGGAAGTGGCATTCTCAGGAGGTTCGGATGTCCCCCGGTCTTCTGAGAAGGTTTCTAAACCTTCCCCGAAGACAGCAAAAACTCCTCAGAAGGCGCTAGGGCTTCTGAAAAGTCCCGCCGCTTTCCGAGAAAGCCCTCTCCTTCTCATTTCCCCCCCCCCTCGCTCGCCGCTGGTATAGGCCCACCCCAAATGTTCTAAGAACTTGTTGTGTCTTGCGCGACATGTTCTTGTAATATTTCTGGATGAGGCTGTTCTGCATGACCACATCGGGTTCATGTTGTAAGACATTGTGTTTGTTCTTAGACTATTGGTTATACGGAACGGAAGCCTATAGGAAGTTGGTAAGCCTATAGGAATGTTGGGACGGTCGGTCCCTGCTCATGACATGGTGGGGCATTGAAGTCACGAAAGGTGCACGTTTCTCCCCCCCACGTTTGTCGATCTCCAACGGCGCCGGCGGACGACGACGGCCTCGGCCTCGATGTCGACTCCGACCTCGATGTCGGTCGGACGTTTCGCAATGGAGGGGGGATTCATCGGGGGGTGAAGAGAGGTGCACCTTTTGTGCCCTCGAGGGCACCCCTGGGGCCCAAAAGGGGCATGGTAGTTGCACGTGTATGCCTCACCGTTTATCGCCCCCCCCAGTAAGCACCGCCAGAGGCGGCCCGTGCACGACGAATTCCGACGACATCGGCGGACGACGACGACGTCCTCGACCTCGATGTCGATGATGCCGACGTCTTCGTTTCGGTTGTGTGAGACGTTGCTGGACGCTCTCGTCGCTACGGCAGGACGGAGCTGGGGAAATTGGCCAGCGGCCCCGCGGCCTGGCGCTGGCGAACAAGAGTGACCCGCGTACCAACATCCTTCAAAAATTGATGGAACCTATCTGTTTTCGCGTTCTCGCATTTCCACCTCCGATACCCTGTCTAGGCTTGCGCGTGATCCCCAAAGAAGCCCCAAGATGGTCCCAAGAGGCACCCCGAGCGCACCCAAGGGGCATCAAGAGGCCACAAGAGATTCCAATGACGCTCGAAGAAGCACCAACGAGGCCCCAAAGACGCCCCAAAGAGGGTTCGAAGAGTCCTCAGCAGGCGCCCAAGAGGCTCTCGAGAGGCTCTCAAAGGCCCAAGAGGCCCCTGAGAGCCCCCAAGAGGCCCCCACGAGGCTCCCAAGAAGCTCCAAGAGACGCCCCAGAGCGGCTCCAAGAAGGCTTACAATTTACAAGACGCCTCAGAGAGTCCCCGGGATAAATACGCAACAGCCAGCCAAGATGGCGGCGAACTCGGAAGAGGCGGCTTCTTTCTCCTTTACCCTCCCCAGCGGTTCTCCATACCCAGGGTGTCTTCAAGCAGCAGCGCCTCGCCGAAGGCGTTCCGGGATGCTGGATGGTTCCGAACGGCCGCCAGACCCCGAGCTACAGTCAAGCATGATGGTGAGGATGGGGCAACTGTCCAAGGCTACCCTTGCATCCTTGCCCCTTCGGTATTCGGCATCCTGCGGCATTGTGCTGCGCTCCGCGCGGAGAACGTCAACATTTTGCGTTCCAAGGCCCTTGCATCTTTGCCGCGCACCCTTACTGTCCTGGTCGAGGTTGTGCTCCGGAAGCCAGCGCGTAACGTCAGCAGGTGGGATATGATAGGCTCAGGGGAGGACGCCTCGAGCCCCAATCGCAACCAGTGGCCGACGTGTCGCCGATACAAGGGCCCCGATCGCCCACCCCCGTCCAGCACCGCGCGGATTCGCTAAAGTCGGCCTGTCGCCGACTCCTGGGCGATGTGTCGCCGATTTCAGGCCGATGCTTCCTCCCTGGAGCAGGCCCCTCGAGAGAGGAATGAGGTGGGAGGGACCAATTCGAGGCCTCCCAAATGCAGTCCGAGTGCACAAAAGGGCTCACGCGTCGCCGACTTCGTCGGCGACGCATCGGCGACGTCGGGATGTAGATGACCGTGCTCCGGCTCCGATCCCAGCTTCTCGGACTACATTTGGTGGGGCCTGGGACCGAGGGGGATGACAAAGACGAGGAAGGGACGAGGGCTCCCTGTGTCCCTCCCGGAGACTACAACTGGTGTGGGCGCGCCAGGGTGCGGTTTGCGATCGGCGCCGTTGGGACTTCGGGCGTCACCACGTTGCGCCAAAGGCTTGGTGAGCCTTCGTCGGGGCGCGGCAGATGTCTAAGTCGAGGTCCTCGCCCGCCCTCCCCCCCCCCCGGCGCGCCCCAAAGAGATTTTGAGGAGACCCAAAACATGGAATGTCTGTCTAGGTTTTTGCCGGATGTGTGTTGTTCGCTCTTCCTGGCCTCCGAACGCCCAAGACGGTCCGCGAAGCCTCCCGGAGGCCCCGCAAGAGACCGCCAAAATGGCCCCAGAAGGCCCCAAGACGGCCCAAGTAGGCGTCGGGAGGGGCTCCCAAAGAGCGCAAGAGGCCTCCAGGCGGGTTTGGAGCGCCCCCGGAGGGCCCAGGCAGCCGCCGAAAGGACCCAGGATGAGCCGAAGACGGCCTCACAGGGCACCAAGAGCGCTCGTGATGGCCTCAGCACGGCTCAACAGGTACAGTCGGGGCGCTGAAGAAGGAACCCTTTTCGCTGGGGAGGGGCTCGGTGTTCCTTGATTGTTTCACAGCTTACCTCAGGTTTCCCCAATTTTTTCGATGGGAAATCGAAGTTTCACTTATGGAAAAAAGGGGCCTCGTTTCTTATTTAGGGTTCCTTAGGTCAACGCCCCGACAGTACCCAGGAGAGCTCCCGCTGAGACGGCCCACCGGGCTTCCTGGACGCCCCCCAGGGGAGCGCCGAAACGGTCCCAGAGGGCCACGGGATGGCTCAACGCTTGGAGGCGGCCCAAGAGGCGCCCAGCATCGCACCGAAATGCCCCAAGAGGCCGTCAAGAGGGCTCCAAGACAGCCCAAGATAGCCAGGAGACGGCCAAATAGCTCTCCCAGACAGCCCAAGAACGCCCAAAGAGGGACCCCAGGGGGGGAGCACGAGGCCTCCAAGGGCCCCCCAAGAGACCCCAAAAGCTCCAGGACGGCCCCCGAAAGGCTTCCAAGTTGCCTCCAAGAGGCCCCCGAGAGGCAACCCAAGAGACCCCACCACACATCCATGAGCACTCCTGTCCACAGCCCGAGGCACGGACGCTGCCTGCCTTTCGGGGGTCGACCGCGTGGTAATGCTACAACGTGCTGTTCCTTCCTCCCAGCCCTGGGGTCGGTGGTCAGCCCTCTTCGGTCCAAGAGGACTCAAGAGTCCAACAAGACGCCAAAATCCAACAAGACGCCAAGATCTCGCCTTTTCACACTGGACGGGCCTGTGATGCCTCTGGATGCCTTCGAGACTGCCCAAGAGGCTCCCGAGACGGCCCAAGAGGCGCCCGAGAAAACCTCCAAGCAGATTCCAGGAGCCCTCCCCCCCGACCCCCTCCCCCCCAAAAAGCTTCAAAAGGCTTCCCGAGGCGCGCGAAAGTTCCCGGCTTCTCTCGGAACATTCTGCCGACGACGACGACGATCCCAAGATTGATAATCATTATGGTGATGGTGAGGATGAGGGGGGGCAGGTCGATGACGGTGACGACGTGCAAGATTGGTGTGATGAAGTTGTTGTTGTTCAGTGTGATATTGACGACGGCAATGATGATGAGAATAGTGATGATGATGATGATGATGATGATGATAAAGATGATGATGATGATGATGATGATGATGATGATGATGATGATGATGATGATGGTGATGTTGTTGATGATGATCAGCATCATCATCATGATGGTGCTGATGATGACGATGATGAAAGTGAAGATGGTGATGATGGTGATGGAGATGTTGTTGATGATGATGATTATGATCTGGATGATAGTGATTGATGGTGGCGTGATGATACTGGCGACGGTGGTAGTGATGGTTATGGCGATGATGAGGATGAGGATGAGGGACGACTATGATGATGACAACGTGCATGGGGGCGATGATCATGACGACGATGGCGATGATGATGTCGATAATGTTGATGATGATTGAAATGGCGATGATGAGAGCGATTACGAGGGTGAGAATGAGGATGAGGATGATGATGACGACGACGATGACGATAATGATGAGGATGACGACGACGGTGATGATGTCAACAATTAGAGTGACGGTGGTGATGTTGATTTTGAGTGTGAGGACGATGATGGTGATTGTGATTATGATGACGCGGATGCAGAATTTTGAAGATGTTGATGATGCTCGGGATGAGCACGATGATGACGATGAGGCGTGCTGTCGTCCGAGTCCCCTCTCTGTGGAGGGCAGTCGCCCAGATGTCCCCGAAGGCCTCCCCGGGATCATCCCGGCGACGGCGACAACGACGACCAAGTCGTAATTCAGGAGGGAAAGGAACACACAGACACAATTAATTGGCGTTTCCCAAGAAAATATGGGGAAACATGGGAAGTGGGGGGGAAGACAGAAACCCCGAAAATATTGGGAAATATTGGGAATCGGGTTATTTGTGTGTATTTATGTGTGTGTCCCAGGGCCCCTTCAGTAATGGTGACTATGTCCATAGTGTTCATGGTGATGATGATGTTGTTGACGACGACGACGATGCTGAATAAGAAGATCATGAAGAAGAAGGAAAAGGCGCTGATATTGGCGACGATGATTATGAGGCTGACCATCATGGTCATGACGATGATGACGATTATGAATTCTCCCGTCCGTGTTATGTTCACGTCATGATGATGATCACGTCCATGGTGTTCATGGTGATGCTGATGCTCATGACGACGACGATTCAGTCGAGCATGCCCCTGTACAGGAGGAATATCCAGGAATCGTGAAAGAGTAGTCTGGTGGCAATCGTTCGAGCTCAGTCTAGTATTCAACAAGCATGGTTTCACTATGTTGTATGTTTCTTCCAGAGTCCGCGTGCAGGAGGACATGCGCGACCTAAGACGACGATGTTGATGATGAAGAAGAAGCAGATGATGATGATGATGATGATGATGATGATGATGATGATGATGATGATGATGATTATGTTGGCGGCGATGATTATAATGCCGACGATCACGATCATGAGAAGGATAATGATGCTTCCGATTCCTACCGCTATCCGACGGACGCGCTTGTTTTTGCACCCCCCCTGGCCCGCGCTAGAAGTTGAACGCGCGAAGCGCGGGCGATAGGTCCAGTAGTTGCGCATGTATGTATATATATATATATATATATATATATATATGTATACACAAACATCTATCGGCGGTTGGAGGGTTAGAACGGAAGCGGCCCCAACTGGGAAATCGGTTTCGGTTTCGGTGCGTGTCGTGCGTGCGGGCGAGGCGAAGCTACGCGAGTTAATATTTAGTAGAAGCCATCTATATCCAAAAGTGCCGCCCCACGAAAGCAAGGCGTGGCCCCCAGTTGTCCTGGCGGTTGTCCCGATGGTTGTCTCAATGGTTGCCCCGGTGGTTGTCACGATGGTTGCCCCGATGGTTGTCCCGATGGTTGTCGCGCAAGTTGTCCCGATGGTTGTCCCGATGGTTGTCCCGATGGTTTTCCCGATGGTTGGTAGATTGATTGATTGATTGGGGGGCGCACACCTGCAGGGTGCTGCGCGGGCACGACGGCGCGCGCGCGACAGCCAACGGGAGCGCGGGTGTGTCGGCGGCCACCGCCGACGAGCGCGACGCCGCGCAGGAGCGGCCTGCGAGAGGGGCCGCGCGCCGCGCCGCGCGGCGCTGCCAGCGTTGTTTGTTTGTTTGCTTGACCGCCGCTGGGATCCCGCGCCGCCGCGGTTCGGCTTCGCGCGCGCGGCGAGCGCGCCGCGGAGGTTCTCACGGCGCTGGCAACTGGGGGTGCGGCGTTTTCTCCCACCCTCAACCGCCCTTGGGGGTAATCGGCACCCAGGTGACCCTGCCAGGGGGGTGGGCGCCGCGCCTTGGGCGGCGACTGCGCAGACCCACGGGCGCGGCCCGCCCCCTGGGGGCGCCGCGCCCAACGTTGGGGCGCTGGCGGCCTCGCAGGGGCGCTCGCTACAGGAGCGCGCGTTGCGTTTGTGATAGATAGATGTTGGTGCACACTGTATCGATGCTTGATATGTGAAAAGAGATAAAGGTAGAGATAGAAATATATAGATAAAGTGACAGAGAGATTTACATCTATACGTATATATATAGAGAGAGAAAGATGTGTATATATAAGTGTATATATATTTATAGATAGCTAGATCGATAAATATATAGAGACATGACTATATATAAATGATATATATATAGCATATATAATCAATATATATAGTGATTGGTTGACTGGTAGACTCATAGGTCGATAGATAGGTAGAGAGAGATAGAGATATATGGTCGTTCAAAACAGATAACTAGATAAATACGTCGATAGATAGATGGGCAGAGGTGCGCGACAATTTAAAACATGAAGAAGCCACTATCGCAAATCGACCGCCTCCCCCTCCCCCCCCCAACCTCCTTATCACCCGTAGGGTGGTCCTATCGGTACATGCGCACACGCACGCATGTACGTAATCGGAGCTCCGCGCAGGTCTCTCGGATCTGCGCTGGACCCCCTTGGCGACGCCTCCGGCGCCGCCCCCGGCGTGCGTTCCGCGCGCCAGGGAGGGAGAGTGGTCAAAGGGAGGGGGGCCGGGGTACAGAGTCTGCTGCGCGTGGCTGCGCATTCGGCTCCACCGGCGGGCGCCTTATTCTGCGCGCGCGGGGCTCAGGAGACTCGGGGGCGGCAAAGAGGGGGATGATGACCAGGTGGGGGATATCATGGCGCGGGCCATGATATTTCCCCAGAGTTCACGGCGCCTCCGGTTATTTCATTACGTTCCTGGCACCGCGCCGCCGGCCATGATTTGCGCCCCCCCCTCTTGGGCGCCCCCCTCTGGGCCGCCCCCGAGAGACGGGGTCAATGCAAACGGGGATTTCTTGTCCGGGCAGTGGATCTAGCAGGATCCTGCAGGGCCAGGGTCGCATTGACCCGGGCTTGGTCGCACGATCCTGCATTGACCCAGGTTTGGGCGCAGGACCTTGCAGGAGTTTGCTCGCCTTGTTCCCCCCTGACTGGGCAGAGTATGGTCTCGGTTTGAGCGCGATCGTCGCGCGTGCCGCTGCAAGTTGATCATGACGCGCCCCTGCGGTTCACGACCGGCTGTTGATCCAACTTTGCGGAAGACGAAAAATTTCCAGCCCTGTGATCCTGCATAGGAGGAAGATGGGCGAAGGAACATTTAATAGTTAGTCGTTGTTGTCGTCATGAGTCGTCGTCGACCGATGACGATGGCAGCAGGAGGAGCAGGGAGAGGGTGGTTGGAAGATTGAAAGATAACGGGTAGGCTGAGGAGTGAGAGTGGAAGAGGAAGGCGGCAGAGGCAGGATCGATGAGGGAGCACAATGGGGGAACAAAAGCGGAGTACGAGGATGAGGAGGACGAGGACGAGGACGAGGAGGAGGAGGACAAGGACAAGGAGGAGGAGGAGGAGGAAGAGACAGGGACGAGAGACGCCCGAGAAAGGGGGGGGGGAAGTGGGGAGGAGTAAAGCGCGAGGAGGAGCCAGAGATGGGTGAGAGCGAGGTCGGCGGCGAAGAGTATGAGAGAGGAGAAGCGAGGAGGACGAGGACGTCGGGCCCGCTGGGAACAGGACGATGACGGCCGCGTAGCCCGGCCGGAGGCGCTCATGCTGCTCCGGCGCCGCTACAAGGACTCTGATCCGGCGGGCTTGTTGGCGTGCCTGCAGACGCTGAAGGCTATCCGGGCCCTGACACGCCCGTGTATCCCCGAACCTTGGAGGAGGGAGTCCAGCGCCGATCCAAGAAATCCGCGCGGACCTCCGAAAGTTGTTGTTCATTTGTTTTGTCCTTAGTAATGTCTGGAGCAGGACGACGACGAGAACGGCGAGAAGGACTCCTCCTCCTCGTCCTCTTATTCATGTCGTCGGGACTCACGTGAGCGGGCGCGCCAGGCGGTGGCCGCCCCAGCTTGCACAGGCGTGCTTCGAAACGGTCCGCCGGTGGATGTGCCCATGGCTTATGATGTTCCGACTTACTTTCGCTTTGATCACCAGACAGAATGCCGAGCACCAAGAAAGTACAAAAATTGGAGGGTGTTCACGTGTCGGCCCTGCCGCCGGCCTCCTCTTTCGGAGAATGGGCCATGGAAGTGCGAAGTCATGAGGCTTTGGCTTCTCCGTGAAGCAGTGTCTGGACCTGTTTGTTTTTTTCGACCCCGACCCTACGAATCTGCGTGAGGGGCGCCGCCGAATTTCAGGAATGTGGCAAATCGCATGAGTTTTTGACCCTGACCCCGCCGATCTGCGTGAGGGGCGCCATCGAATTTCAGAAATGTTGCGAATCCTTTATGTTGTTGGACCCTGACCCCGCCGATCTGCGTGAGGGGTGCGACCGAATTTTAGAAAAATTGCAAATCCCTTGTGTTTCTGGACCCTGACCCTGCCGATCTGCGTGAGGGGTGCCACCGAATTTCAAACATGTGGCAAATCCCATGTGTTTTTGGACACTGAATCCGCCGATCTGCGTGAGGGGTGCCACCGGATTTCAGAAATGTAGCAAATCCCATGTGTTTGTTTACCCTGGCCCCGCCAATCCGCGTGAGGGGTGCCACCGAATTTCAGAAATGTGGCTAAATCTAATATGTTTTTGAACCCTGACCTTGCCGATCTGCGTGATCACCGAATTTCAGAAATGTTGCAAATCCCATGAGTTTTTGATCCTGACCCCGCAGATCTGCGTGAGGGGTGCCATCGAATTTCAGAAATGTTGCGAATCCTTTATGTTGTTGGACCCTGACCCCGCCGATCTGCGTGTGGGGTGCGACCGAATTTTCAAACAGTTGCAAATCCCTTGTGCTTCTGGACCCTGACCCCGCCGATCTGCGTGAGGGGTGCCACCGAATTTTAAAAAAGTTGCAAATTCCATATGTTTTTGTTTACCCTGACTCCGCCGATCTGCGCGAGGGGTGCCACCGCATTTCAGCAATGTGGCAAATCCCGTGTGTTTTTGGACCCTGACCCCGCCGATCTGCGTGAGGGGTGTTTATTTTTACCCACCCCAGCAATTCAGACAATACGATTTGGGCGTGGTAAAAATGCTCGTTTTGGGCCTCCCCGCCTCGCGCGGTCCATCAACAAGGAACAGCGAGCAGCAAGAAGTCAACAAGGAGCAGTAAGCAGCAAGAAGCAGAATTGTAACAGTGGAAACTGGAAGCTGCAACTGGTACAGGAAACTGCGAGCCTCCGGCCTACAGCCCCACAAGGGAGCCGGCGGATTTCTGGGATGTGGTCCTTGCAGCATAAAAATAGGCATGGGCATAAATTCTCGGAGCTCCGCGCGGATCCGCGCGGACCTTTGTTTACGTTTACGCCGGGTTGTTGCTCCTCGAACTGAATCGGGGACAATTTGGGGATCGTGTTTCTGAAGGGCGAGGGCTCGGAGAGCGTGGAGTACCACCGCGAATGATCCAAGGGAAGATCGGAAGGCCCTCAACGGGCCGATCGTGTTGCAGGTCGGGAGCATTTTGTCGACTATTGCGAGGCGGGGATGTATCCATATCCAACGCTTGGGGTGCCGATGTCCGGGGGGGTCCAGCATCGCTCCAAGAGATCCGTGCGGAGTTCGGGGGTTTTATGATTCCGCCGTCGTTTGTCCCTCTGTACGCGCGGGCCTCGGGCACGCGTTTGCCCAGGAGGGGAAGAAACACACAGACACAATGAATCGTCGATTCCGCAGAAAATATCGGAAAATATGGCAAGTGGGGGGAAGACAGAAACCTAGAAAATGTGGGAAAATATGGGGAATCTCTTTCTTTGTGTGCATTGATTTGTGTGTCCTGGGGCCTCTCATCTGCGGGGGCCGGGGTGTGGACCAGCACGGCGGGCCGAAGCCGTCCCCGAGGCGTTCTGCGCCTTCGCCCACCTACATAGGCTTGGTCCAAGGCGGGCGGCAGCGGCAGAGCCTGGACGACGACGCGAGTTGGTATTCGGGCTCTCGCCGGGATGTGTTCTGAGGCCGAGGCGGCGAGGGAGAGGGGGCGGGGGATCTCTTGCTGGCCCGCCCTCCTCCTCCCCCTCCTCCCCCTCCTCCTCCTCCTCCTCCTCCTCCTCCTCCTCCTCCTCCTCCTCCTCCTCCTCCTCCTCCTCCTCCTCCTCCTCCCCACCGGGGCACTTGCTTCTTTGCCGGGGGGCCGCGCGTTGGGAGGTCTTCTTGGGTCTTGGTTTGGGTCGGCCCCGGGTCTCTCTGCCAGTGGGCCGCGTCGCGGCTTGACAGTTGCGACCATGCACCCTTCACCCTCCTCCTCATCATCATCACCACCATCATCATCGTTTTCCCCATCCCTCCTCACAGAGGGCGGAAGGGGGTCCAGGATCGAGGGCGAGGGTTTTGTTGCGTCCATGGTTTTGGTGGGGGTTCCTGAGGCATCCAGAGGAGGAAGAGGGCCACGGGGGGGAGACGGAGGACAGGATGAGGAGGAGGAGGAGGAGGAGGAAGAGACCGTTTTCCGTGTTGCGTGCCTTAGCGGGGGGGGCAGGTCATGCAGAACGGCCGCGCAAGGCGAGTTATGGCCCGAAAACCGAGACGGCGAAGACGGAGGAATGGCAGGGGGGGATGTACAATGTCAACGTTTTTGACCCGTTGCGGGCCTCCCAGGCCCTTGTCGCTGCGGCTGGAGCCGCCTCGAAATTCTCGCCCGAACGTGTCCAGGCTTCCCATCCCCTGGGGGGGGATGGAGGGCCCAGGCCCAGTCGTTGCACGAAACACTGGCGGTGTCGACAGCTCGCTTTCGGCGCCCAGGGCCCGCGCGTGGGCCCGAGGACTCGCAAATAGCAAGTCCTGGGTGCGCCATGCGCCTCTCGGGGGCGGGATCGGGAGCCCCGCGGCTCCCGTCGTCTTGGGAAAAGCCGCCATGGCCAGACGTGTTTTGGCGGGGGCCCAGCGCAGGCCCGCATCGGGCCCACGTGGGACCCCAGCCAAAGCTTGTTTTCCGCATGAGACGAGGCCACGAGGCGTGTGAGAAGCGTGCCTCCTCCTCCTCCTCCTCCCCTCCTCCTCCCCTCCTCCTCCTCCTCCTCCTCCTCCCCTCCTCCTCCTCCTCCTCCTCCTTCTCCTCCTCCTCCTCCTCCTCCTCCTCCTCCCCCTCCTCCTCCTCCTCCTCCTCCGCCTCCTCCTCCTCATCCCCCTCCTCACTGGGGCCGTTTGTGAAGCTCCCTGTGGGGGCACGGTCCTCGTGAGAGGAGCACCGAGCAGGGCGGCAGCGACGGCACGTGAAGCTGGCCGCTGGGACCGCGGGTGGAACTCCCTTTGGAGGGCCGCGGAGCGTCTGACGTCTGTGCGAAGAGGGGGGCGCCAGGGCCGCAGGTGGAGCCACGCCTGGGGAGCCTTGAGACGGAGGTCAAGGCAAACTCGGATTCACGACTGCGAAGCAATGTTCGACTCCCCGCTGCCCCTCCTCGTGTCGCTTGCGCTCGCGCCGCCTGCCTGCCGCTGTTTTGGGCTCAAGGGTGGGACCGCTTGTCCCGCCCGCCCACCCTTTTTGTTTCTGTCCCTGCTTCGGCGGCGCCGCTGCGCCTGCCTCTGTGTTGGGGCCGGGAGCGGCCTCGAAGCTTTGGTGCCTCGTGAAAAAGAGGAGGGAAGGGAGCGGGAGCCAACGGGGGTCAGCCAGAGCGCCCGATCTTGCATCATCCTGCAGAGCTAAGGACGCACTGGCCCGGCCTGGGTGCAGGATCCTGCAGGATCTTGCGGGAATTTGCAGGTCCAGGGTCGCATTGACCCCGGCTTGGGCGCAGGATCCTGCAGGATCCTGCAAGGCCTGACTGACCCGGGTTTGGATTGACCGGGGTCAGCAATTCCCCGAAAGTTTGGGACCACGAAATTTGTGAATTATGATGCGACGGCGCGCTCCGGGGCCGTATGAGTGGAGCCCCCGTTCTGGGACACAGAACGTGTGAGGGATGTGCCGAAACTCTCGCGGCGCCCATTGGGGCCGCAGGTGGAGCTCCCAATGGGGCCACGGAACGCGAGAGGGGTGTACTGTAAGCCAGCGGCGCCGCCACACGACGGCGCCGCCTCTAAAGGTGGTGGAGGGGGGGAGGAGATGCACGCGATGTTCATTCGAAACGAGGACACAACCCACACAGGAGCGCTGCGGGAAAATTACGGTGTCGAAAGTTTGGGACAATGCCCCCCTCTTTTTCACCAAAACAATGGAAAAAGCCCCAGCTTTGAGAAGGTTGAGTTGGCTGTAGGGTGCTGGGGGGCGGGAGGGTGTTCTCGGACAAACACGTCCTAGGAGATGCTACCCTCCCTCACTCGTCCTCCGCCGCGCTCGTCCTCATCGTTTTTTTTTTTCCCGACCACATCCTCGCCCGCCCTACGCCACTCCATCATCGCTCCGTTCTCCCACTACATCATCGTTCCACCCACATCACTCCATTCTCACTCCCTCATCGCCCCCTGCGCCCCGTTCGCTCCTCGTCCATCTCCCCCACGTGTGCTCCTTGCCCCACAGGGGGAGGGAGGGCGAGGGGGGGGGCGAGTGTCGGCGAAGGGAATAGAGCAGGGATGGCCAGGACGGCGAGAGAGGCTGGAGGATCCATGCGTATGTAACATTGTGTTCGTCCTCATTTCACGCTCCGTGTGATTTCCCGTCGCCTCGGCTGGCGTGACCTCGAAGTTCTCGCCGAAACATACCTCGGGAGAGGCCAAAGGCCGATTTCAAGTGGGACAAGGGAAGTGGAAGAGAAGCAGGAGGAGGAGAACGGCGAGGGGGTGATCGGGGAAAAGGACAGAATGAAACAAGAGGGCGGAAGAGGAAGGTGGAGATGGAGGGAAAGGAGGAGCAAGGAGAGGAAGAACAGTCATTCGGGGAGGAGGAGGAGGATTTGAGGATGGACGCGAAGGAGGAAGAGGAAAGGAGGAAGAGGAGAAGCGGAGGCTGAGGGTGTTGGCGGGTTGGTGAGGACCGGCCGGGGGGGGGCGTGCGCGGGCGCGGCGAAGCCTTCCGAAAGGCGTACATCAGCAACCTGGCGAAGAGCCCACTGGACGGACGCGTAGGTAACGGGCTGTCCTCCCGGGCTCCCTCACCCCGCAGATCGCCGACGACCTGATGTTTGAACTCTGGGCGTGCGTGCTTGAGTTCGGCCTTTGGGGCCCGCGATCGGGCCCCGAGGCTGTCAAGCAGAGATCCGGGGCGAAAAAGTGGCCCTGGGGAAGGGTGCGGCACTTCTGTCTGGGTCTCTGAGGCCGCGCATTGAGCAGAAAAACAGGTCAGCAGATGTCTGGGCCATTCCACCCTCCTCCCGCCCGAGCCGCGTTCTCCTCGTCATCGTCCTTGCTTTTCCTCCCGCCGCCGCCTCCTCCTTGCTCCACTTGCGCCTCGCCCGCTTCCGTTTCCTCCTCCTCCTCCCACTTACTCCTCCGCCGCCTCCTCCTCTTCTCCTCCTCCTCCTCCTCCAGGGAGCGGTCCGCCTCCTCCTTCTCATAATCCTCCTCACTCTCTTTTTCCTCCTTCTCCTCCTCCTTCCTCTCCTCTTTCTCCTCCCCTCCTCTGTCCGCGTCCTGCTCTTGACTCCTACCTCTCTTCTTCCGTCCTCCTCCTCAAAACCCCCCTCCCCTACATCCTCCTCCCGCCTCCTGCCTCGGGCTTCCCGAGGCCCACGGAAGGAACAAACATGTTTAACATGTTTCGATTCTCCTCCACACGCTCTTCTTGTGACGACGACGACGACGACGACGACGACGACGACGACGACGAGGACAACGACGACGACGAGGACAACAAGGATGACGCCGAAGATCGCGCGGCGGCGCCGACCGCGCGCGAGGATCCCAAGTTCCAGCGGATCAACTGCGACAACAAGGGCTTCCAGTCCCGGGTCGCGCCCTTCGACGGCGCCAGGCGGCGCGAGCCCACGCCTGCCAGGGCACGCCCGTCGTCGTCGTCGTCGTCGTCGTCGTCGTCGTCGTCGTCGTCCCTTCGCTGGAGAGACCTTTGGTGCGGGCCCACGCTGAATCGTCCAAGCAAGCGTTGGTTTGAAGCGGCCTGGGCGCTTGGATTTCCCCCCCCCGCTGGCACCGCACGTCGCGCACCAAGGGTCTCTCTTTCCAGGGGGGGTCACCCCTGCGCAAAGCAGAACGGGTCGGGGCTCACATGGGGGGGGTCAGCCAAAATCCCATGTGTGGCCGATTCCCCATTCCCCGCCCCCCGCGGACCAGGGTCTGGCAGCTACTTCGCGGCCGGGCGGGCTTCGCGACAGGGCTTTGGCCGACCCCAGCTTGGCTTGACCCTGGTTAGTGCGCCCCCGAGTAAGCAAAAGCTTTCGAAGGTCCACGCGGGATTTCTTGGGTCTGCGCTGGAGCCCCTGGTCAGTGCGCCCCCGAGTAGGCAACAGTGTTCGAAGGTCCGCACGGGATCTCTTGGGTCTGTGTTGGGGTCCAGCGCCGACACAAGAAATCAGCACGGACCTCCAAAAGTTCACGCGACCTTTCATTCAGTTGCCCTTTCGGCACAAGGGATGCGTTGAGGCCACGGATGGTCTTGTATGCCTTCGGGTCGTTGCCTGGCCGACCATCACTTGCTTAAGTAAGTATTCCAGCGGATCAGGGATGGTGGCATCCGTTCTTTGGACCTTGCCCTTGCTCAGACTTCCGATAAACGGACAGTTGATGGCAGTTCGACTTCCCCACGCGGTCTTGCAGTCTGGATGCGTATTTGAATTTAGGCACTGGGGCTTGTTCACGAACGGAAGCGGCAGCCAAGCAATGCTTGAAATGAGCGTGCGCAAGCACGACGTCCTGGAAACAAGTATGCAGGCGCAAAAAAAGACAAGTTCGGACAGATCCCCCTCTCCTCCCACATCGCCACTTTTGACATACGAGTCGTAACATAACATTGTTGTTATCCCGCCACTCCCGCAGCAAGGAAATTGGCATCCGAGTTCGATTCTGACAATAAGAGCGGCATTGGCACATGAGAACAAGAACAACTACACAATTCCAGCCGAGTTCGCTCCCTTGTTACTGCGCTGCCAGAGGCGATGTCCGACAAGCGGGGCATGCTCATGACGAGATGTTGCCCTGAACGTGCGCCAGTGGCGATATCGAGGGAGATTCGATCCTGATGGTGACCCAGATCATGGCTCAGCGTTGCAGCACCAAACGCTGAGCCAAGGCTAAGCGGCAAAATCATTGGGCGCTCAATTGATTCAAGCTCTGACACCGGCGGTTCGACGCCGTTCGTGTTAGCAACATGTACCCAGAAAGCATGATTGGGCAGGGCGATGTGAAGCAATCATTGGCGTGGTTGCATCAAGGAGCGATTTACGAGGGACGCACCCAGACCCGTCTTGCATGTGAGGCGACCACGTGCGTGATCGTTCCAAGCAATATAGCATGTTAACCAGTGTGGAACCCAAATATTGCGTGCTCTAGCATACTCTGTTGTGCAATCTAGGTCCCGTAACATTTGTGTTGCAATCTACGTGGTACGACATGCGCGGTGCAATCTATGTGGTGCACACTATGTGGTGCGAATTATGTTGTGTGTTCCAGATTATGAAGCCCATGTCGTGCGATCTATGTTGTGCAATCTATGGCGTGCAATATTTGCGGTGCATTATGTGTTGTGCGACTTATGGTATGGAGCAGCTGTAATGCAATAGGGTTGGTGCAACTTCTGTGGTGCGCTCTACATTGTGTAATCTACGGTGCGCGATCTACGCAATGGAGACAGGTTGGCGCAGCAAATGCGGCGCGATGGGCTTTTACAAACGAGTTGGCAAGTGCCACGCCCGTGCAAACATCCCACCACCCACCCGCAATGTGGTCTGCTAACCCATGCGGCGGCGATTGCGATGAGTGTTTGGCGTTGGCAGGCGCATCTTTGCGGCCGCGCTAGCCCGCGCGTGCTCGCGCGCACAGCGGCCAGCTAGTTTGGCGAGGCCGACGCGGCCGCGGTGGCGCTGACCGCTGGGCACTTCCCAGCGGGCATTCCAGTGCGAGTCGGTTTCTCTGGGTGGGCGCGCGGGCGCGGTATCATGGCGACGCCGACAACTGTTGACACCGTTCTGAACGTAGCGTTGTCGGCGACGATGGCGGCGATGACAATGCGGGGGCCGATGTTGATCACGCCCGCCGATAGCGTTGACGATGTCTTCGCGTCGGCGATGGGTGCTTTAGAAGGAGTTCGATAGGCGTGCGCGGCCGACGCGCGCGAGTGCCCCCGCGGCGTTATTTTGACACCGATCCTCCCCCCCCCGAAAAACAAAAAAAAACGCGCGCAAGGGCGTTCGATTAAGTTCGGCACGCGGCGCGAACGGTGCTGTTTGGCAGAACTTGGTGAAACTGTTGGAAAACCGATGATGTTCTGAAGAATTCGCAAAAGCGCGAGTGCTGGATTGGTTTTAAACTGACGTTGTTGAACCCTGCGTTTTATTTGTTCTCGTCACGTTCGATTTCGATCGAAACCCTCACGAACGCGGCGGTTTGTCTAGGGATGTTGGCGCGCGCGCATCGAACCTCGCGCGCGCACCTCGCCCTGTTCGTTTGCACGAGGCCCTTGCAAAAGCACACGACGCGCACGCGTAACCAGGGGGCGTCCACATCGTCGGCGTGTTGATGCTCGGCGTCGACGATGGCGCCCTCGTGCGTGGTCCGTCCTTGCCAAGCTATCGACGTGAGCGCGCGGGAGGTTTGCAAGCCAGTCCGCGTGACCTCGTGCCTGCGGCAACCGAAAAGGGGCTGCACGCCTGCGGCCCGATGGAACAAGCCTCGCCGCGCCCGAGACGTCGTTGCCATACAATGGACGCCCATGCCAAGAAACACCCTGTTTGCCTCCAGGGCGCCCTGAGCGTTTTCGGTTTCGATGGTTTTGCTTTGGGAAGCGTGACGCTCCTACACCAAAAGTCCATGAGCGCCCTGGGGTCCCAGGTCTGGGTTTCTTGTGGAAAGTTGTTTACGGTCGAGCTCCTACTGCACACCCCGCCGCGCTTCCCTGGAGCCCCCGTCCCCGCGAGGTCTCAAACTGATTCCCGCTGCCCTGCATCCCGCCGTGCTTCCCAGGAGTTCACGAAGGCTGTGACAGGTGCGGAGTTCGCCGCCCCGACGAAACCGCGAGGTCGCGAAGTGATCTGCGTTGCCCACCCCCCAGGAGGCCACGAAAGTGACGACATATGTGGAGTTCGCAGCCCCCGAGGGGACCGCGAGGTCCCGAAGTGACCCGCGTTGCCCTGCATTCCGTCTTGCCCCCCAGGAGCCCACAGAAATACAACAATTGAACGCTTCGCAGCCCCCGACGACCCCACGAGGTCCCGAACTATGCGCTGCCCTCACTTCCGCGGGGCCTCCCAAGACCCCGCGAAAGTGGCGACAGGTACACATATTGCAGTCCCCCACAGGGGTCGCAAGGACTCGCAGTGCCTTGCGCTGCCCCCGCCTCCGCCGTGCTTCCTCGGAGCCCACGAATATGTCGACAGTTACGCACGGGACGCAAGGAATCAGGAGGCAAAAGGCAGGGAGGACGCAGGAGGAGGGGGGAAGCTTAGGGGGGAAAGAAAACTGGAGACCGCACCGCCCTCTTCAGAACGAGAACCCAATACACAGGATGGTCGGGGGATTACCGACGACAAGTACCGGACCTCCTTTTCTACGCGAGGCGAACAGATGCATGAAGGCTCGAAACAACAAAACACATCGCCACGTGTGCACGACATGCGGTGTCATGCACTCCGCCGTGCCTCCCAGGAGACCGCGAAAGCTGCGCGACAACCGGGCGCTCCGCAGCCCCCAGGGGCGCCGCAAGGTCCCGAGGTGGTCCCCGCTGCCCTCTCTTTCCGCCGTGCCTCCCGGGCGCCCACGAAGGAGGCGGCGGCCGCGCAGGTCGCAGACCGCGAGGGGGCCCGCGAGGCCTCGCAGCGGCCTGGGCTGCCCGCGGCCGCCCCGTGCCCCGCGGGCGCCCACGAAAGAGGCGGCGGCTGCCGCGCAGGCCGCCCTCCCCGAGGGGGGGCCGCGAGCTCTCGGAGCGGCCTGCGCTGCCCGCAGCCCCGCCGTGCCCCTCCCAGGAGCCAACGAAAGTGGCGCTAGTCTTATGTCGGGCGTGTCCCCCTACAGGGGGATTTCCGACGGAAAATAAAGCATGCCCCAAAAAATACCCCCAAAAGGTTAAAACAATATTCAAAAAAAAGTCCCCCTTATTTTTTCGGGACCACTTGTGGGGTATGTTTTATTTTTCGTCGAAAATCCCCTTGTAGGGGGACAGGCCCGACTGAACGCTAGTCTCTCAGTTTGCAGCCCCCGACGGGGCCGCGAGCTCTCCAAGTGATTTGAAGTGCCCTCACCTCCGCCGTGCCTCCCAGGAGCTTCCGAAAGTGGCGACGGCCGCGCAGTTCGCAGCCCCCGAGGGAGCCGCGAGGTCTCACAGTACTCTGAGCTGCTCCCTGTTCCGCCGTGCCTCCCAGGACCCCTCGAAAGTGTTTGCGGTGGCCCGGCTCGCAGTGCCCGAGGGAGCCGCGAGGTCTCGAGGTGATTTGCGTTGCCTTCACCTCCTCCGTACCTCGCCGGAGACCACGAAAGTGGGGACCGCTGCGCAGTTTGCAGCACACAAGTAGGAAAGATACGAGGAAGAGAGACAAGGAGGCAGAAGGCAGGAGGAGGGGAGGAGGAGGAGGAGGAGGATGAGGAGGAGGAGTAGGAGGAGGAGGAGGATGAGGAGGAGGAGGAGGAGGAGGGGGGTCAGTGCCCGGCTCGGCTCGGCTCGGCTCGGCCGCTGCGCCGTTGCCTCTCCGTCTGCTGGCATCGGGCTTCCCGCCGATCCCACTCGGCCGCCTTGGCCCGCCCGCTTTGGGAGGCTTCGGCCTCGTTTCTGGCTCGATCGGTTGTCGGTGCTGCTGTCGCCGCGTGCGCCTATCAGGGGTAATGTCAGGGGGGGGGCTCAGGGGTGGACGCATCGACGCCCGACCGCCCGCTGGTCGCCGATAGGGCCCTGATGGCCCACCCCGCCGAGGAACGGTCGAACTTGCTATCGGAGGCCTTTCGCCGTTCCATCGACAATGTACCGCCGATTCCAGCTCGATGTGATTTCCCCTCTCTCTCTCTCTCGCAGCGCTGTGTAGCGATCCCTTATTCGGACCACCGCGCCGCTCGCGCAGGCGCACCGCAGGCAGGAGGCGCGGGAGCCCGCCGGACCTCCGGGGGGGCCGTTTTCCGTTGGGATGAGGGGGGGAGGGAGAGGAACCACCAGCCCAACCAACGTGGTCCCCGCCTAACGTTCCCCCTCAGCCTATGCGGGCAACAGCGACGACGAGGGCCTCCGCGCGCGCGGGGCGCCCCGGGCGAGGGCAGTGCTGGAGGCGTGCGGCTTCCAGCCCGAGGCGGGGCCCGCCTCTGGCGGTGGCGGCGACATCTTTGCGACGACAGGGCCGCGGCGGCGGCGGCTTCGGCGGCGGAGGATGGAGCAGGGAGGAGGGAGGAGGGAAGAGGGAGGAGGGAGGGAGGGAGGAGGGAGGGAGGGAGGGAGGGAGGGAGGAGGGAGGGAGGGGGAGGAGGGGGGGAGGGGGAGGGGAGGACGAATCTGTTCACCACCCAGCAGGCATGGCCGCCAGGCTTTTTAGGCCAGGAGAGCTCCCGCCCCGCCCCCGCCCACCTCGCAGGAAGGCAAAGAGAGCTCCCGCCCCGCCCCCGCACACCTCGCACCCCCCCGGCCGCCAGGCCCCGGAGGAGGAGGAGGAGGAGGAGGAGGAGGAGGGGCAGCCGCTCTGGCCCGGGCCACGACGCGCGAAGCGCAGGCTCCCTTCGCGCTCCTGGGGGTGACCTACAGATACAGTCAGCCCGTACCATGAGGAGGAGGAGGAGGAGGAGGAGGAGGAGGAGGAGGAGGAGGAGGAGGAGGAGGAGGAGGGAGGAGGAGGGAGGAGGAGGAGGAGGAGGAGGAGGAGGAGGAGGAGGAGGAGGAGGACCATGCGGGCATCCCGCCCCGCTTTTTCTCGGGCCGGGGGGGGGGCCGCTCGACGCGAAGTTCTGACTCTTGGAGGTGCTCCGCTCTCGTGGGAAGCTCTCTCCTTGGGCGCCCTCGTCGCCCGGGCCTCGGGGGCCCCCCATGGGCATCCCGCCCCGCTTTTTCTCGGGCCGGGGGGGGCCGCTCGACGCGAAGTTCTGATTCTTGGAGGTGCTCCGCTCGTGTGGGAAGCTCTCTCCTTGGGCGCCCGCGTCGCCGCGGCCACATTCGTCGCGAGGCTCCGGTCAGAGATCGGAGCCCGCCCAAGAACAGGCGCGCGGGTGCGGATGTTCTAGGGGAGCAGGCGGTGGCGACGCCGACGAGGCGGAGAAGGGAAGGATGTGGAAGAGGAATGCGGATGGAGGAGCGAGGACGAGGGGGGAACGAGGAGCGGAGATGATGATGAGGATGAGAAGGATAAGAAGGACGAGAAGGATGAGAAGGATGATAATGATGAGAAGGCTTAGAAGGAAGAGAAGCATGAGAAGGATGAGGACGAGGATGAGGACGAGGACGAGGATAAGGACGAGGATGAGGACTACTACCTCTTCCCTGTTCCCTTCCTCATCCTCGAGCGGGGTGTCTGACGATGTCTCGGCCACGTTCTTCGTGGCGCCTGTGCTGCAGGCTCTCCGACGGGGAGGCACTGTCTTGCCTGCCTGCAGATGCTGGCCCAGCTTACGCTTCGGGTGCGTGCGCCCAGTGGCCTGCCGAAGAAGAGGAGGAGGAGGAGAAGTGTAAACCCAAGAGTCATGAACGATGTGGGAAAAAAAAGCCTCCCTCCAAGCTTTCTCTCACCACGGGCCCCTACAAGTGTTCATTTCCACGTGGGGAACCGCCTCGTTGGAAGACAACCGTTTGAAGACCCTGAAGCCTGCCAAAACATGATCGTCGGGACTCCGACGCCACAGATCAGCCTGACTGTTGCGCCCCGACGATCCTGAATCGTGACAGGAAGCCATTCTTGGGACTTCAACACCGCGAATCAGTGGAATTCACTGTTGCATCCTCATGATTCTGACTCTTTCCAGAACCCTATTGCCGGTACGCTGTCCACGGGAATCCGCCAAATCCTTGTATCTTTTCACACGGGATGTGCGCGGCGCCAAGGCGAGAAGAGGTGTTTGAAAACGGGCCGCCCTCGATCCGTGAAGGTCTTGCAGATGTTGAAACGAGTGTGCGCGGCGCTCGGGCGAGAGCCCTATTCTGAAACACCCACCCTCAACCCGTGAAACCCTTGCAAATATCTAACACGAGTTCGGCAACACCCCAACATACTTATACTATATGTGCGTCGCCCCCCCAGGGGCGACGCGCGCACCGAGAAATCTTATAGTACATGCGTCGTGGCGGGCGCTTCCTGGCCACACCGCTCGAGAAACGATATACTACAAGATGGGTATACTACATGTTCGGGTCGGACGCGCGCCTCCAAGGAGGACATATAGTACTAGTATGTCTTTGTGCTTCCCACGAGTGCGCGCTGCGCCAAGGAGAGAGCCTCATCTTGAAAACCACCTGCCCTCGATCCGCGAAGGTCTCGCAAGCCTTTAGCACGAATGTGCGCGGCGCTAGAGCGTGAACCGCATTCTGCATACGACCCGCCTTTCAATCCGCGGAGCTCTTGAAACAAAACGAATGTGCGCGGCGCCGAGGCGAGTGCCGCATTTCGAAAACCATCCGCTTTCAATATGTGAAGATGTGGCTGATTTTTAAGCATCAGGGTGATACATGGTGAGGAAGTCGCAGTCGACTGGCCTGGGGGGTGACACGGAGAAGTTGTTCATGAGGAAAAGAATGGAGGAGGAGTCGGAGGAGGAGGAGGACGGAGGAAGGAGGAGGAGGAGGAGGAGGAGAGGAAAGGAGGAGGGTAGGGGGAGGGGGAGGGGGAGGGGGCAGGGGGAGGAGGAGGAGGAGGAGGAGGAGGAGGAGGAGGGGGAGGAGGAGGAGGAGGAGAGGATCGACGACGACGACCACCACCACCACGATGACCACGACCACGACGACGACGACCACCACGACGATGACGACGACCACGACGACGACGACGACGACGACGACGACGACGACGACGACGACGACTACGCCGACGACGACGACGACCACGACGATGACGACGACCACGACCATGACGACGACGACGACGACGACGACGACGACGACGACGACGACGCCCAGGCAGCGAATGCAGCAATGTTTTGGCAAAGACCCGCGGGGCCCGACCGAATCGAACCTCTTGCTGCCGCGGAAAGGCCTCATGACAGGAACGCCGTGTCGACCGCACGTGCTCGCGGACTCGGGAGGGGAGGGGAGGGGGCGAGGATGGGGGAGGGAGGGGCGCGCGCCGAGAGTGAGCGGGCAGGCTGGGAGCAGGCAGCGCACGAACGCCCCTCCATGGCTTGCCATACTGACCCCCAGAGAGATCGGGGAGCGAAGAATGACACAAACATAGAAACTCGGAGGTCCGCGCGGATTCCTCGGATCCGCGCTGGACCCCCTCGGGCGGCGCCTCCGGCGCCGCCCCAGGTGCGCTCCGCGCGCCAGGGAGGGGGGTCCAGCGCGGATCCGAGAAATCCGCGCGGACCTCCGAGTGGTTGTGTTTGTGTCCTTCGTCGCTCCCATGGGGGAGGAGGGCTCCACGAAAAACATGGGGCTCTGGCCGCGCACCTTGCCCCACGCGCTGTGGGAGCAGCGTGTGGCCAGCGCCGTGGGTGAGCAGCGACACTCACGACAGGAGCGCCAGCTTGATTCAGGAGGGAAAAAAACACAGACACAATTAATCGTCGATTTCCCCGAAAATATGGGAAAATATGGGAAGTGGTGGGGAAGACAAAAACCCAGAAAATATGGGAAAATATGGGGAATCTTTTTATTTGTGTGTATTTATTTGTGTGTCCCAGTTTCCCTTCATTGATGGCCAACACGCGACCCGCCTGGATGACTCGCAGAAGTGGGTCGAGCACATCCCGGTTGCTCACGTACCCATCCAGACCATGACGCGCATTTCCACATTGACCACATGAACGGGACCGTCATGGTCCCTCCACGTGCGTTCGACGTGCCTTGGGAGCTCTTCAAGGTGCTGGGCCCGCGCGCACATGTGGAGAACCAAGTCGTGAGGAAGGGGAGATGGAAGACAGGGCAGAGGAGTCGGAGAGAGGGCATCACCCAGGACTTGCCGATCCATGAGCGAAGCTTGATCGATTGCCTCGCAGGGGGGGGGGGCCTTTTTTCGGAGCACGACCGATGGTTCGCACGCACCGCTTAGACGCACACTCGGCATAAAGGCGTTGGGTCACCAGAGAGGGAGCGACTTGACCGTCGCTCGCTGCGAGGGCGTCCCATTGTTAGCATCGGTCGGCCATAACGTGGTAACCAACGTCCGAAGACCAAAATTTACGTCCATGTCACAAGTGCCTAAAGAGCCTCGGGCGGATGTTGAATTTTTTCCTGCACGATTGGCGCACTTCCTCGACAGCCTACTTCCAGACGAGTTCACGTTCAAATTGCTGTTTACACGGTGCACGGACCAGGCCAGCGCAGTCGAACAAGAACAGCTCCGCAGTCGAGGGCGGCGTACCGCACGGCGATCCTGGCGGTGCAGGAAACGTAGGACCAGGCGGAGACGATTCACGGCACCTCCAGGGCCTCTCGAGGGGCGGCCTTTTCGGCCCTCCTCCTCGTCCCCGCCCCCTCCCACTGGGCGCCAGGATGCTCCGTGAAGGCAACGCTTGCACCCCCTCATGGGCCCCCGGACCACCCGCGAAGGGCGGCGCGCTGGTCGTGAGCGAGACGTTCACCAAGTCGAAGGGCCCGAAGCTGTGGGACGCCCTGGCGAAGGCGCCGCGCCGGCGACCGAGGAGGAGGAGGAGGAGGAGGAGGAGGAGGAGGAGGAGGAGGAAGGA